TCTTTGAATCACAATAGATAACCTACAGAAAGGAGTCTGTGCTCCTTACTTTCTTCCCACTGTTTTCTGGTTAAAATACCAGGACTATGGTCCTCTGAGAAACCCAACACCTCCTGGCAACTGCAGAGCAAATCTAGAGCACTTAGCACTGCCCCTAACCAGCTCCTGATGCAACAAGGGTAAGGACGGAATTGATGGAGGTTATAAAGCTGAAAAGTGATCATAGCAAGAAATGGTAAACATACATTCAAAAGCAGAGACAGAAAATTCTCCAGCATGTAGAAAAATAACAGACTTTTTTTTTTTTAAATCAAGAAAAGCAACAGCTAGATTTCTCTGTAACATTGCCCACAATTTTGTCCTTTCCCCACAAAAAAGTGAGTGGGCAAGTTTGTGTTACATTCTTTAGAATATAAAGGAAGTTATTTTCACCCCTAAATGAAACACTAAAAACCTTGAAAGGCCTCACTCATTCACAGATGCAAAATGGAAAGCTTTCCCAACATATATTTTGGAGACAATATCCTTTTTTTTCTGGAAATGCTGATAAGGAACAAATTCAAACCGGTCCTCATCCGCCTGGATGATCTTATTTATTAAAAACAATGGTATCTGTTAAACCCCATATACTAAGCTATCGGTCAATTTTGATTGACACAAATATTTGTATTAAAGGTTACATACTGCAGTTTACAATTGGGTACTATCACAATACTGTATGTTAATGTAATCAGTATCTTCATTTCATTAATTCATTTGCAGCATGACACTGCAAGGGTATTCTTACATACACTGAAGGCACAATTGCTAAGTAGTTCAACAATTCTCCTTTAAGTGGGATTTTTTTATCTGATAAATTTTTAACACAATAAAACCACTCCTAGTTCCACGCACAGATTTTAATTTCCCACCTTTTTAAGTGTTTAGACACTTGGAATACCTAGCATCCTGAATTAATCCACAAATATTTGTAAGAAAAATCTATTCAATTTCTTTCTATAGTAACTACCACAGGGACTATTGTAATGAAAAATTTCCCATCTTAAAGAATTAATATGATTACTGATACAGAGAAAAAATGTAATTTATATCATCACAAACACGTAGAAGATATAATCCCATATTCACAGAAAGAATCTTTATTCCCTCTTTGAATTCTGAGACAATACAGTCTTGCCTTGAGGAGAACGGAAATATTATGAAGTACCTTAAGCAAGATAATTGTAAGAGAAAAACCTACAATTGCATTATTGTTGTGCTAAACTGTGACATACTTAAAAAGCTAATTTCTTTTATTATAATGGAATTTGGTGTGCATATCCTTTAATCTCCTTCACTATTTCTTCACATTTTTCACACAAACATATGTGTAATGTGTTTCCCATTATCTGTACTACCTGGCTTAACTGCAACAAATTTAAAACAATTAAAAATGTATTTCACAATGCCATAAACTTCACTGGATTTTTTTTAACAGTTTTGGAACTAACAACATCTAGACTGTCACAAAAATGCACAGCAAATAAAGACCTGCTGCAACTCAGATATTATTCAAGAAGACATGATCAATATTTTATGAAAAGGTAACATTTGACATGAGTGACTGTCCCAAATTTTACCAAATACATTTCAACCAATCACAGTGCTGAACAGTCTGCATCTAAATCAAAAGCTAAGCAAACAAAAATGTAGCCCCAAAATAGGGCTTTCTATAGCTATGTCAGTTAAAGTGCATTTATAATGCAGTACAGTCACTCTTCAATTATTCCTTTCAGTTAAATAAATTTTAACAAAGAAATTCATCTGCTGTGTCTGGGCATTTCTCTATTCCATGGACACAAACATTTTTTTCACTCATTCACCTTTAAAAGGCAAATTTAACAAAACTACTAAGACAAAAAAGATGACCTAGTTAGTACAAAGTAATATTTAAAGCTTTTATATATAGTACACTCATACTGCTACCCCTAAGTTCCAAGGCTTTATGCTTACTGACATGATTTGATTTATCTGGCATTATTACTGCTTAAGCGTGAAAATTCATATTGTCCATTCGTGTATGAATTCAACACACACGGGAGGAATCAAACTGTAAAGAAAATTTTCTGTGAACCTTGATTAAATTAACTCTTAGGGCAGTAGCATCCTCAAAGGCAAACAGGGTCACCCTAGTGACTACAGGCCTTCAGTGGGCAGACCCCCACAAAACCAGCCAAAGCCAATAAAGAAAACACCCCAGAACCAGCAAAAAACAACACTCAGAAGGGAGTTTCGGGAGTCTCTTACCCTTTGCTATCTAAGCATCAGTCCCACTACAGAACTTAAGCACCAAGCAGATGCTTTCCCACTCCTCAGCATTCAGGAGAGCGTGACACAATGAGCAATGAAAATGTGTGCCTTGTATTTATTTCCTTACAACTCTTAATTTATGTTATAGCACTGAATTATTAGCGCTACAGTAATTAAGTTCATTTTCGTTATCTGAACAGATTTGACCAGTTAGTTATGAAAAAAATGCCCATCTAAATTAGAGCAGTATTGGCTAAAAAAAAATGTAGGTCACTGAAGAAACAAATCAAGAAACAAACATTGCCAAATATCTGTTCAGGAAGCAATTCCAGCATGCTCTTTGCTCTGTTCAAACCCCAATTCCTATACATCAAGGCCTTTAAGCACACACTAACCATAAGTACATGCTTAAAAAACCTTTGCTGTGTTAGGACCTTCTAACTGGCACACCAGACATGCAGGACTGCTTGCAGTGTAATCCTCTGCAGGAAGCATGACCTCTTTTCCAGTGTGTTTGACCTACACATGGAATTTATGTCCAAAACAAAAAGATTATGCACCAAAAATCAAATCATGTTGTGTCAATGTAATGATAACACCCAGTATACATCACCCTGTAAACTATGCCCACAAAATGCCAGTGAAATCAGAAGTCATACCTATGAAAATAGATACACGAAAGAGACTTTAAACTACTGCTTGTGAAACACCAGTCTTTCACATTTGTGCCATAAGTGGCAAATTCACATTATCCTGCAATGGCCTACAGGTCTTTCACATACACAACCTTTTCTTCTAGCTAAGCTAGTAAAGTGCCAAATATTCTCCTCTAAGTTGCCCTTATTTAGTATGAAAACAGTTGAAATAATTCGTGTCAGTTGTATTTTTTAAAACAGAAATGTGTATCTATGAAGGAATGTAATTTTTTTCAGAATCATATCTACTAATACAGGTTTTGTGATCTAAAATTGAATATGGTCCTTTAAAGAAAAAGTTTTTAGTTAATATCTGTGTTTTGGAGCCTCCCACTGGCAGCCATCACACAGCTGAAGTGAACTACCAGCTGCATAGAGGGTTTATATCCAGCATCAAAGACTATTTTGCTTTAAAAGAAATTAGTATTTCTGAGTTCGTATTTTAAATGCAATTTAAAAGATCATAAAGGAAAGAATTCAGCATTTATTGTGTGTCTCCCAGCAGACTACTTAATGCTCAAACATCTACTATGCAAAGGTCAAACGATTTCAATGAATGTAATGGTGACAAAAATATCCTGCAGCACTGAAAAAAAGTATCAGATGATCAAGGAAAAAGATACGGACCTGAGATCTCACAAGAGTCACAATAAATAATGTAGATTCAGTTCAGTAACAAAGAAAATTGCAAAGTTGTGTCAGGAGAACCAGATTAAGAAAGATAATAGGTAAAATACAAATTATGTACTTTTGGCAACGTTCTTCATAAAGGAGTATTTTAAAGTAATACAGCAAATGAATTTTTATAAAAAAAATGACTTTTCTTACACAAATATTACTTGCACAGGGTTGAGTTAGAAAAACAAACTTATGCAGATGGGGAAGCTCTGGGGTATTCTGCTGCAGGCAGCGCACGGAGAGCAGAACTCAAACAAAAATCCAGTGTAAACAGTTGTGGAAGTTGTAGCAGCCACAGGGTAAAGCTGCAGTGAGCACTCATTCAGGAATGAGACAGATTACAGGTAAAACCAATACAAAAAAAATTTACTCAAATGCTTATCTGAAGCAAGCAGCAAAGGCTACTAGGTACCAATTTATTTTCCGTTTCATTGTGCTTTTCCTTCCTTGACATTTACATCAAATATTTTAGGCACTCATTCTTTCTAACATAAGGAGGTTGCAAAGTGCACGGTGCACACTACTTCCTGGTGGTCCCAGCTCTTCAAAGCCAAGATCTCACCAACTAAAAAGAGCTGGAAACACAACCGGAAATTGCCTGTCTGCCTCTGTGATGTGCTACTATAGAAGATGAATTTGCTGGTCACCAAGAGCACATCTGGGCCGATCCAGTGGATCTCTCCATACCAGTGGACAGGAACACCAAGGACAGGAGGCAGAAATGCATCTAAGCAGCAAGTGAGAAACAAACAAATGAACCAACAAGCAGGAGTTAAGCATGCGCAGAGAAGAAAGGTGGAAAATTACATGGACAAATCAAAAAAATAACTAAAACGGAGAAGGCAGCAAAGATGAGACAAGAGAACAGAATACAGGTTTATAGTATCTATACAGAATATGTAAACAGAACATAAGGTAACTAAGAAGCAAAAGTACAATGTGATGTTCACTTTCTGGAAGAAAATACAGCATTTTGCATGTTAAAGCAAAAGGGGGGTTTTAGTTTAGTTTGATTTTTTTTTTATTTTTGCATATAATACACAAAGGAATAAATCTTGGCTGATCTTGTGTTCTAACATCTAATAACAAAACCTGAATTTTGGTAACTTAAGCTGATGCATCATTGGGAAAGAAAAAAAATCTGGCTAGATCTTTAGAAAAATTAGACATATGAAATAAAATATAATGTAAAGGTAGAAAATAAGGTGCTAAACTGATATTACATCTGAACGAGAATTCTGACAGTGAACTCACAAAAACACAGTGTAGATGCTACTGATTTAGTAATACAAAGACACATAATTTTGACTATTAAATTATATTCAGAAGCATACATACGTTTTTTTCTGTGCTCAACCAGCTCAACAGCCTGCTTTGCTGAGCATTTGGAAAACCAGTTGTCCCCAAGCAGAACAGTAACCTCATTGGTATGGACAAGTTTTCCTGGCATGAAGGCAAGAGGTCCAAAAGGTACCTGTAAAAGGCAGAGAAGAAACTGCTAGAAATCACAAATAAAAATAAAACCCAGGCAGTGATTCATGCCTTAGTTTTTAACAAAAACTAAAACACAGAGTTAAAGAAATTAAAATTCTACACCAGTTATTTAATGACTAATCCCTCATATATATTCAAATTACCAGATCCATTTAAATTTAGTACCATACTTAAAATATTTGAAACCTGGTACTGAACTAGACAAGTGGGTTTGTGACATAAACTTACAGAATAGCCAAATGCTCACTTAATCTTAACATGTAAGCCTTGATGACAAAATTATTGTAATTTGGGTGAGCTACATGTTTGCTACAGACAGACTACATTCATCTCCTAAAAACAGCAAGTTTAGCTCTGCTAAAATGTTAAAATATTTAAATAGGTATGGTCAACTCAAAGATGAGTTGCTTCTATCTGTCATGCTAATAGTAAGTACCTTAGAAAGCTCAGTGTAAATTTGTGGGACTACTAGCAGGACCACAGACTGCTTAAACTTGCTCTATCATTCACCAATGTGCAGACCTCAACCTTCTAGCAATGCTCCACCACAGAACACCCATTCTCTAGTAACTCTTCAAATACACAGAATACTTCAAACAGGAGTACATTGGAAATAAACACATTTTATAACTTTAAGAGGTGTTTCTTAAAAAGTGTAAGCCCTGTTTTAACACATATTGCAATGTCTGGGACATTGTTTTCATGAATTAAGACACCTTCCATGGGCCAAACTTCAGAGACTTGGGCAAGTCCCTGGGGAGGAGCCTTGGCTTTCTCCTCCAGCCCCTCAAACCTACTGGTCTGGCTGCCTTTGGGCTTCAACTCCAAAGAAATGAGGCCAAAATCAAACTGAAGTTAAAATGGAGGTGACAAAACATCCACCTCAAGTTTTCTCTTTCTTAGAGTAAATAGAGATCTGTCTCAGCCAGTTTGTATCTGTTCCTTCTACTTCACTCCTCTCCCACCTCCTTCATTTCCTCAGGATAGCCACTTGCTTTCTCATCACACTTGTGCTGAAGCAGAGCATTTGGCTTAGTGGATCTATTTCCTTGGAAAATGATCTTCCCTAGCTCCAGTATCCAGGAGGGTACCAAGGTCTGAAACAGTTCTCCAGCAGGCAGGATCCTGACATTAAGGCTATGCTGAACGTGCTTTTTCTACACATGCACCCATCCCAACTTGGTTTTCAAGCAGCAGACTGCACCACTCGCTTGTACACTCTTCCCCCAAAATGATGAAAGGATAATTGGAAACATATGAAAATATTTAGCTAACAGGATAGGAACTATTTATATACATTTAAAATAACAGATGCAAGTTGACATTACTGCTTTAACTGAAAATAAGCCCTAGCTAGCTTTTATTTTTTAACAGGGAGCTTTGTATGCTTCGAAACAACATGATCCTTTTGTTTTACAACATGTGGCCATACATATACACATAGTAAATGAACTACACGGAGCTTTGTATGCTTCGAAACAACATGAACCTTTTGTTTTACAACATGTGGCCATACATATACACATAGTAAATGAACTACACGCATAAAATCCAGCACTGAATCATTAGCATAAAAAAGGGAATCACTCTCTTTTCCCACATAGTAAGTGTACTCCAACGCTGTCTTGCTAACAGTTCAATGCTATATGCTAAGCCAAGCTGCCAAGGAAGAAAACATACAGTCACTATGGGCTGAAATCAGTCATCCAGTTATTTACAGTACAACTTCCATCTCTCCAAAGATGTATCTTGAATTGGACTTGAGAAGGGAGGAGGGAAATGAGAGAAAAGCCAATCTGGTCAAAATTCTGGTGAGCACAAGCCAACAGGGTAAAGTTTACACAGGGAGCTGTGCAGTTGTTAGGGAAGATTCAAAGCACCAGAAAAGATCGCTATGTCAATATGAAGATCAGTGAAACAAAAATTAGCAGCACCTTTTTATGTAAAAATCAATGTTCTAGGGTTTACTTCCATGAATCAAGAAACACTACGGCCACTTTCTTCTCAGGAAATGACTAAGTACCATAATTCAGTCATAATTACAGTTTTCTATACAACAGATTTACATATTAAATATGTCAGGTTTTGTGTTAGCATTTATGTCCTCAGTTCTCAGTTGTTAGCAGCACTGTAATTTACAATGGATTTCAAATAAAAGAGAAAGAAAAGCAAAGGTATAACTATTACCAGGAGACCCATAACAAGTACTATGTGGCCACCTGAGTAGCACCTCGCTACCTCTACAGATACCCAAGTTACTAAACATTTCAGTGTTTCCTTATGTGAACTCTACAGCGTACATACCATGACATCATATGATAGTTTATCAGGCAGCGTACGGAGTCGTTCCTGAAGAGCCTCATAATCACTCTCTACCTTCTTCCTGTTGACAAATTCAAATTGATTCTATTTCATGTCTAAAGTAAAGAGTTAACATTTTTCTGCTAGTAATTCAACAAACAAAAAATACAGGAACATAAACTATTTTACTCTTAAACACATACAGTTGATATATTAATAACTTATTTATAAAAGACTTGGGATGACAAACATGATATATTATTTTAGAATAATGTGTACTAAAATAGCATCATGATTATTTTAGATTGTGCATGTCTCTTTCTGAATTTGACTGGTGCAAAGAATCAGTTCTTCCACTAGAATTTGGCTTATCTCACTCCATGTTCATCAGTTATACCACCATCAATATTTAGAAAAATAACTGAAAATCCAGTTTATACTTTATAAGAGGCAAATTCTTCCAAGCAGCACTTGGAATAAAGATTCATGGCCTTGATTTGAGCTGACATGAATGGGCAAAATTTTAATTCATTCTTATTTTCACATGAACTTTGTGTTCCTACCAAGAGTTGACACGTGAAAGACGGCTTGACCACCAGGATTCTGTCTTATCTTCAGTCCCTGACAAGGGACTTTGCAGGTGAGGAACACCCCTTCTACTGCCTCTCCATCCAAAATGTAAATAAGGCTCATGCTACATGTTGCCACCAAAGAGAGAAACGGCTTGGAAAACTTAAATTATTCCCCCAGCAGATACCTGGCTTTTCAGAGAGGATTTTGCAAAATGCAGGATTTCATTTGCTGCAGGGATTTTCCTTTGTGTGCAAAAGCAACTAGACCCCCTCTAAAAAAGCCTTCTTTTGGAAAGACATCCTCAAATACTTAAACTCAGCTGAAAAAGTCTTTTAACGGACTACTGCAACTCTGAAGGTGGTCAGAAATCAGCTCCTGCATGAAGTAACTCGCATATAAATGTCAGGTTTGATGATATTGTTTACTTGTACTTCAAAATAGTAAATGTATATATGGTAGTAAATTCTGCAGTAAAAGCATGGAGCAGCACATTTAACAACACTGACCTGAGATGCAAATTACAGGTTTTCTGAGGATTCAGAAAAGCAATCTGTAAATGTGCTAAAAAATGAATGTCAGAGTTGATAACACAACTCTCAAAATATTATCATTGATTTTCCTAGATTCATAAGCAGAATGAAATCTTCTTCAGCATTCATTATGAAAAATTATCTGATACTCCTGTGTTTTGACTCATTTGCTTCCATAGTTGAACTTTGCGGTAATCACCCTGCTTTATACCTGGAGTGCTTCACACTTTAAGCTGCTGAACAGTCTTGGAAAAAAGAATTTAGGTTTTTATGCCACTTGGACATTAAAAGCCTATTCCATATAGCTGATATACCAGCCTATTCCATATAGCTGCTTTGGTTTGACAGAAGATTTCTCCCCGACATTTTAGGCATGTTTATCTATCTACATCAACATGAAAATATAATTCACTTCCTTCAAAGAGGAAGAACAAACTCATGAATCTTAAAAAAATTCATTGAGATGTTGGGGGGGGGGGGGGGGGGGGGGGGGCAATATAATGACAATTTGGTGTCAACGATAACAATAAATTATTTAATGATATTTACAGAATCCAGCCTTTGCCTTGCATAAATCTGTGTTTGAGAAATGGACACTGATGCACTCCAACCATCCACTAAAAAACAAACATGACCCCCAAGCCAACAGCCTAGCCTTGGTCTCAAATGTGAAGAGAGGCCTCCATGAGCAGAGAATGGTGTGAAAATCCCTCCCCACTTGCAACAGGATTAAATATTCCCATTGCTTCACGGATGAAAGTCACTCAACATTTCTTCATCAGTCTGACAAGAAGGTGCTGCCTTTAAGGTCTGGCTGCTGCCTGCTGCTGAACAATGTGATCAGGATACAGGACAAATCACTTTCTACAACAGCTATTTTGCTTTACAGAGCAAAGTAGACTTCTTTTTTCAGTATATTTCTTTTTTTCTACTACCCTTTGGTGATCAAGCCTCCACCATGGGAATCTCTAAAAGCACGGCCACATCCTGAACTGGACCAGCAAGATAAAGAAAATTAAAATCAATCCTTTTAATTAATTGGCCTGAGACAGTATTACTTAAGGAAGGAGGCCAACATCCCTCTTTACCTATAGCTGATGGCCACACAAGCTCAATTCCCATACACAATGAAGAACATGAAGAGGGGGGATGAATACTGGGACTCCAGCTGTGAACATGTCCCAGAAGGGGAAACGCGTGTCTAGATGCTTAATCCTGTACCAGGCCCATTACTGGATTCATGGCTTCAGAAAGATACTTCAGAAAGTGAACTAAAAAAATTAAAAATAAAGCAACTGAATGGAAATAGATTAAAGCTGAGCATTTTTAAACCCTGTTGTTATTAACTCAGTTCTATTTAATATTCTTCTGTCACTGACTACTTAGAAGGTCTTATATGAGCAACTTAGTTGAAACAAGAGCACTCAGCTCGTACACAATCAAGATCTAAATAAGGGTACTAAATTTTAAATAATTTTTATGAAATCAGATGCTGTATAAAACTGCTTTTCTACATAAAGGTAACAAACAGTAAGTTAGGATTTCCTTTCCACATGCTATGCCCAAATTCCCCAAGGTCATCAGGCCATGGCCAGAGTTTGCATAAAAGCAAACACATTAGTAACTCCTCCTTCCAGAGGCCTCCCTTCTGACTTCACAAGCCTCAGCCACTTTCGTAAGAGTAAATAATTGTCACAACTTCACAAACTTTTAAAAGTCTGTTCAAATTTTAAGGCTTTTTGTCAGTTTTTTACTGAAAAATAATGTCTCTTAGTGAAAGAATGCACATGCAGAATTTCGTATGAGACCAATCTGGCAGGGACATTGCAAAGCTCCTGGAAAAGTCTGCGTGCTGGGGATATTCTACTGCCTTCACCATGGCAGTACCAGGAGGCACTTCAATAATGTTTCTCTTACTGAAAATTAACGTGGTCTCTGAATTTTAAACATAAATGGAACATATTAGTTTTAGATTATTTTTGGGAGCCAATGGTCAGAATTTAATATGATGTGTATAGATTGCCTTGATTTTTTCCCTTTTATCCAGTGCTTGCAGCCTATGTGCATTTAAAGTAAAAACATTTGATACACACTAAATATAAATTATTTGCTTGGAGATCTTTCAGGCATGAAGAAAAAGCCTCTTAAAATAAATTTAAATATTATATGCTTGATGGTGTATAACCAAAGGTTTAATCTCACCACTAAAGGGGCAGTTGCTGTGATTCTGCAATAACCCTGCAGACAATAATCAAGACAGCTCCTGTTGTTCTCTCAGTAAAATCATGGTAAACACAGCATGGATATATTGTAATTTGATATCTGTAAGATCAACTGTTGTATCTCCCAGTAACTCATAATACAAGGTTTCATTCACCATTAAATGTACATTTTCCTCACAAGCCGTAGAAAACTGTTACTTACTAAGCATGTTTTCTATTAACCATAGATTGCCAACAGAGAAAAAAGTGCCCAGAGATAATTTTTTTATGTAACAAACCATTTCTTTCTAGCATTACAAACTAAGCTTTACCACATACTTTACCTGGGGAAACAACAGGGATACATGACTTTCACACTGATTTAGCACATGGAGGAGGGGGAAGGAGAATTTACCTACTTGCTCCATAGTTAGAAAGAAACCAAGAATCATTAATTCTACCCTGGGAGTACCTTTGCACCAATCAGGCAACTTTAGCATTTACCCACAAGGTTACTTGGGGGAAAAAGACGAATGAGCTCAGCATTTAAAACAGAAGTATAAATACTAAGGCTCAGTATATTTGTGATTTAAAGTCATGATATCAGTGGAAAATATATACATTTTCAAGAACATTTTCACTGTAACAATGCTGAGCTATCACTAATCCCCAAAACATGCTAGTAGGATTTGGCTATCATCAGAATCAATAGCAATACTTTATTAAAATATAACTAGGTTACTCATCAGTATTTTAGGCATGTAATCAAACATTTTTCACTTACCAGTGCTGGATTTTTTCTTGGCAGCTAGTGACCACCTGTCATCAAAACAGATAACTACTCATGAAAAAACAAGGCTAAGCACACAGCTGCAATGTCAATGCATCAGAAACTAGAACAGCAGCATTACAGATTTGGTGGTGTCTCTATGCACATTTCTATTTGACAGTGCAAAGGCAAGGGAATGGCAGTTCTTAAGCAGCACACTCTATCACACACTAATGCAGACCCATAACCACAGAAAAAAATTACAGCTTTTCAATTCATATTTTGGTACAATACCTGCTCCGTAACTATTACATGACACACAATAGTATCCTACAAGAGTAGTAGGCTGTGCGATTTGCAGATCTATTTTCAGCGTTACATGTTCACAGAATTAAAAAATAACATACATTATAACAAGACATCAATGTAACCTCCCTACTGAGTCATTAAAAACCAAAAACAAATGAACCCCACAGCACCAAAACATTTTTTCCTTCATCAGTACATCAACAAATATCTCCACTGGCCATTTGGATTTGAAAAAGCACAAATTAATTTTGTGGTGCTTAAACACAAAGGTATCTGACACCATTATACGGGCTGCCAACTTCCCTCCTGTTATTTCCAGGTGTCACAAAAAGAGGAAATTTTAATCTGAATATCTCACCTTATGTCACAGGCTTTCCCAAGAGATCCAAAATAATTTACAAAAGAAAGAGCATTGCTAAAATGAAATTGTTTTCTTCTTTTTTAACTGTATTTTTTAGACTACGTAGGTATAGCAAACAAACGAGATGCTGAAACCTGTGACCTTGTCTGCCATAATTACCTGAAGATTTTGTCTTTCAAAACCTATTCTGACCTCTGAATAATGGTTACTAAAAATATAACACAATTTCATTCAATTATATGAAATGCAATGAAGCCATGGGGCAATTAAATATGTCTAGACATCTTCTCACTATAAGCATTTCCTAGATTATTTTTTCTTTACAAATTTTGCTTTTCCTAGAACCAAAATAATGCTAACATTTGAAAGCAATTAATGAAGAGAAAACAGTAACATACATTCAAGTACCACTGAAATCACTGGAGCAGATAATTCTTCCCCCCCCCCCCCCCCCGCCAACAATTTTAATTTTTTTTTTTTCCATTTAGCATATGTGCATCTATTGTAGAACAGAGCTCAGACCCTTCACTTCCTACTCAAGGACTACTTTGTGAGCTAATAATTCTTTAAACAGAGTAAAGTACTTACATGAAAAGGATCAGCTCTACATTTGCGTTTATGCTATTTCATAATCCATCAGGAAATTCAGCCAGGTAGCTTGCCCCGCATAAGCCAAGTTTAAATTTATCATTTGCTTTAAATGCCTATAAATCAAATGCCCAGCAAATATTTTCTTTAACATGCAAGCTAAGGTTAAGAGTAAATATGCAGACTTCTACATGATATCAACTCAGAAACCTGATTCATACTATTAATATTGAGCCCATTTTAAGAGTAAAGTTCCCATTAAAGGTATAAATCACACAGTGCTGAGTACAATGCTAACCCACAATGAAGCCCACCATAGACAAGTAGGAGAGTCAGAGCCTATTCTACCAACATCCCTCACCCTTTCAGATTTGGTAGGGATTGTGAAGCACGCAACATAATTTAGCACACAAAAATGTTTATGAAATCCTTTAAGAAAGTTCCGGTTTAAATGCCCACTACAGATGAAGATGGAAAAGACAGGAAGCTTCCCATTCCCAATACATGACTTCCCATGCACAAAGTGAGCTAAAAGCACAGAAAGTAAAACCCTGCAAACCAGAAGAGCAGCATGTTCATTAACCTCTACATGATAATCCTTTCATTGCTGCATATTAACTAGTTACATATTCATAATCATTTACATTATTTAGAGGACCTTGTATGAAAATTTCCAGGCTATATCCATTAGCTACAATGTTAAAGATTAGAGAAGATAGTCTACGTAATGTTTCCAAGAAGCTTTTTTAATTAGTAAATATGTAAATTGGGCATATATGCTTTTTATGTTTTTAAAAAATAGCCCATCAGTAAAACAGCACAGGGGCATACGCTGTTTCCACAGCCCTTTATCCTCCAAAAAAAAAAAAAAAAAAAAAAGAAATCAATAAGACAAATCAATTTTAATTTAATTCTTCTTCTTTGATACAATCTCTCTTGAAGGGATACTAAAGGGTGGAACCAACAACAAACCTCTTCCTCTCAGTGGCCAGCATAAAAGAAGACTTTTTACAGAAGTGCTAAAATGTATCACCTTAAAAATGTTTCAGGCTGCACTTCTAGAACTGAGCTCTATTGAAAAAATAAATACTGAAGAACAGATGGAAATCAATTATGCGTATGCCCCTTATTAGGTCAGTCCCACTGTTTGGATAACAACTGGTCTTATCACAGCAAAGAAACAAACAGATAAATATACAAACAAATCTTTGATCCTTTGCCTTTAATCAAACACAGGAAAATCATTAGTCTATCTTCCACATATGATTTATATCTAGAGCTACAATTAAAGAATGAAAATTCCTTTCAGGGTAAATAAAATAAAGGACCTATTTGCTTGTATATATGAGTTTTGTTTGTCTGGACACCTAGAGCCACCCACTACGCATTACTTCCAAGACGTAACAGTGAAGCAGTACCAATAAACACTGAATTCTCCCCTTTTAGACATAAAAATGTAGAAGCTTATGAATGCATGTGCCTATCAATGGCTTATCTGCATACGAAAATCAGAACTACTCTTGCACCAAACTTAGCATTACCTAATCATGGGTCTGGTTATTAAAACAGAATCCACTGTTGGAAAACATATTCCATACTCTTAAAGCCAGTGGGCAAATACCTTGTTTCCTCCTTTTCTTCCAACAGTAACTTCTTAAAATTTAGTGCTTCTTGAGAGCCTGGACAGAGGCATACCGTGCAATAACCCTGGCAGAGCACACCTCTGTGCACCTATATATAATAACCCAAAGCATAATTCTTTCCGGATTAAAAAAGAAACTGGCAAAGCAGGAGAATACGCATTGGTTCTGCTTTTGTTACTACTAGGCTGAGCTATTTGAAGGAAGCATCCATTCCTGCTTTCAGGGAATCCCTTGTTTCCAGGTTGCACAATCAGAGTCGCAGCAGACCAGAAGGATTAATCCTACAATCACCTCACAGGTGTTTCCCAGTTCCACTATGTCAGTCTGAACCCAGCGCAGTTTGCAGGCTAGTGACTTACAAAGCACACTCAAACAACTCATACCATTAAGCCAAAGAGTTCACTAGCCATCTGAAGGCAGGAAATTCTTTTTGTGTGCAATACTTTGTCTTTTTCCAATCTACCTATTTAAAGCCCATCTTCTCCAAGATCTTCCATCTGAAGAGTTCAAAAACTCTTCCATGAATTAAAGCATAGTGCACTTTGGAAAAGTGCTGCACTGATTTTGCAGGATGAGAAACTCAGCCACTGGCATTGGAACTGAGCTAGGATCAGAAGCCACACCGACTAACTCAGCAGCCAGGCATTACCATCACTTGCAGTATTTCCTTGGAAATGATGACAGGCAAGAAGGATGCTGTAGCACAAACCTTATTCTTACCTGTACACGCCTACAGGCCTCTAATCTATTCCACATTACTCCCTCCTCTTCCCAGAAGGTCCACACTCTCACACACAAAAACATGTCTTTCTTCCCCTTCGTTTTTATAACCTGCTGCTTCTGCACGTTTCTATTATTAACAGGTGAACAGAATTGTCTGTGATGCTTCTGAGTACCAAGGTGGCACAGAAATAGTTCTGCTTTCCTTTCTAACCCAAGACTATCTGGTTTAATTTAGGTAGTTCTCCAAGATGGAATGCATGAATCTGAATGTCTCTACTTGTCAGCTAGGCACTGCCTACAGAATGGACTGGTTTAGCACATGGAAGCTAATTCTTCTCTCTCACCTGCTTTGAACAGCAATAAGGTAAGCATATTTTACTTATGTTTCAGTTTGTGAAACACTGTAAGCAACAGAGCTGGTACTGGTATCATCTGCAGACACTTTCGGGTTCCAACACTAAATCTGCTGCATTTGAGCCAACCCATTATGTTCAAGCCTAAAGAACTAGACACTGATATTTTATATGAAAATTAATTTTAACAAAAATGATGGAAATAAAAACACCCCATCAGATTAGGAAGAGTTCCTGAATGAATGAGAGGTTTTTTCCACACTTGTGGCTATTAATGTGGAAATATGCACTATGGCACATAAGCAAAGTTCCTGTTTAAACTGCAACTCAGGTATCTGAGAGACCAAGTAGATAGGTGTGCTCTGTTTCTACATGCATAGTTGAGTATTTTGCTTCAAAACTGTGGTTTACAATCTGTCTGGTCTTCTGAAATTAGAAGCCAGGGACACTGATCTAACCCCAGCTCTGATTCTATTTCTTCTAGATGGCCTTGAGCAAATCACAACCTCTCAGTCTACATTTCTTCATCTGCAAAATGGGGATAATAGTATTAACCTACCCACCTCAGAGTGTTTAATGATGATTAATTAATGTGAGAAAAGCACTCTAAAGATGTAAGAGCACTATATAAGTGATAAAGCATTATTTACCACTTGAAAAGTAATCTGAATAAAATCAGATATGCAAGTAATTTGTTTACATGTAGCAATAATATAATTTGTGACTATTTAATCTTGAATTAGTCTCACTTTAAACATCCCTTTCAATCACATTCCCAGTTACTTAGGGAAAATGACAGTATGGAATACTTTTTGTGGAAGCAGAGCAAGTAATGAGGTGGTAATTGAAGTGAGGGCCTAATAAAGTCTAAAACCAATGATCTGCCTTCAGGAGACTGTTCCTGCCGTTTGGGCTGTTCAAATAATTCGAGTCTTGACCTTGGTTCTGTTGTTCAGAACCTTCCAAAAACTACAGTGGAAGCGGATGCGGCTTTTCTGAGATGCAGATCCACATTTACAAGGCTAAATCCAAGATAATTTCCACTACTGACCCCCAATTCAGATGACTCCAAC